CAGTCAATTTAGCTAGATATTATCAAATTTAAAGCTAAGATGATTATCAGTTTTCTATCATCGATTTTTTATATTTTAATTTTAAAAGAGTTAAAATATTTTACATAATATTAATTTGCTTTAAAATTAACAAAAGCATACCGATCATATTTTCACTTTAAATTATAAAATAGTTAAATTTACATTTTACTTTAATATAAAACTAATAATAACACAAAATGAATTCTGCTATACGCAAATTGTGTGTTACATGTTTGTACGATGGAAACAACACAAGTGGGCACCATCTTAAAAGTTACAATTATTGAAGTATGTATAAAATGTTATAATTAAAAAATGATCATATATGATATACATAGTCATAGGTTAGGTATGGTTTCTTGCTTAAAAATATAGAAATAGTATAAAAAAAAGCCAACGTAAGAACATAGATAATGTTCTTAACTTTCAATTTGATAATAGGTAAATTTAATCCAATACTAATATACTAACAACACAAAGTTGGTTAACCTAGACACAAATTTGGTATGAGTTAGGTTGGATTAACATAATATTAAATTAAATATAATATATTAAAGTAATGTTACTAGTTAGTACACTTACATCCTAAACACAGTAGGTATATTATTCTATAGTAGGTATAGAGTATAATATAATGCCTATGCCATAAAATACGTACTAGGATAAATTTGGTACAATAATGTTGCGTAAGTTTTTGAAAAAGGAGTGAACTGAAAATTGTATGCGTATAAAAATAGTTAGTTAAATGACTAAGTTCTAACCTGCTACTAATGGCTGCCATTTTGCTTTCTATGCGTTCGATGGGAAACTGTGGTATATGATATGACGACGTACCACCGCCAGATGCTAGATCAGCCGCTGGTGGTGCACCAGTTGCTGGAGTCATGTTACCGCCAGGTAAACTAGCGGAGGAAGATTGTGGTGGCGGAGATGAAGCCATTATTTCATCGTCGTCACTGTCTGTGGGCAGATAAAAAAATGTTTGATAAATTATATACCTACATATAATATATTTTTATATTATTTAATTTGCATTATAAGTAACATACCTATACCACTTATGAAAATTAGCAGACATAAACGTATTATATATTATATTTAAAAAGTGCTTACTTTCAAAGAGCAAAAAATATACAAATATGATAAAAAAATATGACATCAAACGTATAATGGCAAATGTGTACAATACACATCGATTCAAATATGTGGGATAGCTGGTGTTTATATGCGATAGCGTAGGTTACTCTATGATTGTGTAAAGGGGTATCTATCAGTTGAACCTGTTGAAGGCTTACGCGCGGTACTGGGTCACCTTGTACCATCATCACGTGCACGTACACACGTTCTACAATATAAGTACATTATACTTGAAAACACAATAATATGTAGATTGTAGGTACATGTGTATATTAAAGATAAACAAATTTACCTAATATAAGATACGAAAATAAATAATCATACATACAAGCATAATTTGTTTAGAACGAACGGAACGATTAATTAAACACTATCAATACATTTTAAAGTGGTTAAACAAATATAACTTTGGATTAATTTTTATATTTCACCATCGTCCGAGTAATCCGCAAGGTCCTTCCACCTGCGTGGATAATCTTGATCAGAATCTGAATCTGAACACGCCATGATGGTTGTTGGAGATTTGCAATATCTTAAACGCGTTAATGGTTTATTAGGTCTCAAGTATACTGAGGTATTTGACAAAATATTGGATGAAAATAGTGATTCGGCAATTGGCGTTACTCATTAGGTGATAACAGAACTTTTATAATAAGTACTAAAAAAATTGTATAAAAGAATAAACTGACTAATTTATATAATATTATATATAAATACAATAAATATACTTAAAAGTTCGAATGGTTACGATAGTACTAATATTACAATTTAACGAACACCACAAACGAGAGCAGACTATACAGTAATTGTTATTTATTCATGTTATACCGACCGCCATTTTAATAGTTGGCAAAAAAACAATATTTTGTCATGGTTTTTAAAAATAGAACTACCAAAGGCTCATAGCCGTGTTTTTTCGTAACCTACCCGATACCGTCACACAGAAGACACTTCTGTTGAGTACCTACGCTAGCTATAATGTAAATTTATTACATTTGCATATTACTTTTGATATCTATGTGGGCGCACGACCAACTACATGCGTCGACACGGCACATTTTAATAATTGAGATTGTGATTAATCGTTACACTATATTATATAATTTCCAACAAAATAATAAAATATTAACAATGCAGTTTATTTTATTTAATTGTGTTAAACTTTGTTAAATACCAACGATTTATTGTTGATTAAAAATAAATTATTCATACCGGCAGAATTAGCAATGGTCACAGATACTGGAGGAGGACTACCAGTAGGTGTAGGTCTTGTTGTTAATTCGTCGTCTTCTTCGTCGTACTCGGAGTCTGCTCTTAATTGGTTTAACATGCTGTTAGTAGTGACTGTAGATAGAAGTGAAGCATCATCTTCTATATTCGTCTTCTTGGTTGCGGTTAGCATAGACATTTTAATTAAAACGGCGAACGACCACAGCACAAGAGATTTCTAAACAATATTGAATTGAAAATAAATAATTTAAAGACTAAAACAACAAAGTTGAAAATACATAGTAATGCAATATTAAGAATAATACTGTAATTTATATTATACTATATTATATTTATATCACTTCTATTACAATGCAATATTATAAAATGTTAAAGTCGCAAACAGTTATTCAAGTGTAGGTATGTAATGTACACCCATACAATTTGAACTAATCTATACTTTATATACTGAACAGTTAACAATATGCCACTCACATTATAATATGCGTTTATCAACTAAGATATTAATAATTGTTATTAAGATAACAATAGCAATTATAAATTATGCGTGGAGATGACACCTTAATTGAGCCATAGTAAAATGTTTGACACAAATGACACGCATTATAATTAATATAATAAATTATTGAAATAGTATTAATTATTTAAAAACCTATACTAAATTTAAAGTTAATGCTTTCAAGTTAATCAATAATCAAAATTAATATTCTTGCGGTTTTATTATCACGAGCCAGGCGCTTTTACAATTAATTTTGTTTTACTCTTAAGAAAAATATATTGAAACTTAGAAAATATGTGGAATGATGTCTTAAAAGTTAAAAATGATTTCGTTTTTAACTTGATCAGTGATCGCAATAAAAATAATCACTGTATATATATATTATCAAATATATTCATAAATTCAAAATATTATTGATCGAATAATATGTATACCAGCAATAACAATTTAAATTATACTTAATTTATCATGAGATTATGGAGGTATATATTACTGTATTACATGCGCATGTAACCCTGAACTCTAAAAACAAATTCCACAATCATTATGCAACCCTACACTAACAATAGATCGCTATTTAATACTAACACATCATGCTCCTGTCACATGAAGTTAAGTGGTGGACAATCGTAACAAAGAATTGGAATAATAGTTAAAACAATATCGATAAAAACAACACAAATAATTAAAATTGGAAAATCGTTGAATGTCTGGTTAGATATACTAGATTCTATTTTTTACAAATTTAATTATTTAATCTTTAATTTTGCAACTCTATAATTAAACTTGGTTCCCTTGCTTAATTTTCTGCATAAATGCAGAAAAACTTACTTAACAATGACTTAGCTTAAAATTATGACAGGTGTTGTTCTTATTTTTAAACATAGCAAAAAAATGAAAAGTTTATTATTTAAATTGTACTTGATTCGGGTATGTAGTAGCATATTAATTTAAACCAAATACACCATTAACGAAATGTGGAAATCGAGGATACTTATATCAAAGGTATATTAGTATATTACGCAGTATCATATATAACTACAATATTATGTCACTGTCAACACTCAGCAACCGACATTTCATGATGAAATATATAATATACGAATTTTAAAATTTTAAATAAATACGAATAATATACAATAAAGAAGACGCAGTTATAATTATATTAGACAAACAAACCTGATCACTATTTTAAGGCAATATGCTGAGTAGCTGAGTCACTGATTTGCTTATGCGAATACGATTGATAGCTTTTAACACAATTAAGTAACTAATAGTAAAAACTAAATAAATACCTATACATTGAAGAATTATAAAACGGCATATTATAAACTAAAATATATATGCGTAAAATGAATAATATAACTTTAAAAAAAAATGTATTAGGAAGGTAGTTTGCTAACAATATATGTTATTTTACACAGTAATTCAGTAAATTAACTCAAATTAAGTATTTAAGTGTATATTAAATATTAATATATTATATTATGGGAGTTTAATAAAAGAACTTAATGTCACGTAGTGAACAAAATTTTTACTGTTAAATAAAATGATATGCGCAATTATTTGTTTTGGTCAAATAGTGGCTGAGAAAAACATCAAAACGTTTTTTTAAATACGAGTTTAATGAATTCAGTAGATAATATTGCATACGATAAATTAATAATTATCAACATAATACTATACTATTATAAGTCTACTTTGTAACGCGTAATTATTGTTGTTTTTTTTTTTTTGTAAAATAAGGTGGATGTATTTTAATGCTCGAAATGTATGTAGCTATTTGAAACTATACAGTAAGAAAATAATATTATAAGTACCAATTGTTGTTTTAACTTAAAGTCTCTACTCTCTAACTTGCCTAAGTCAGCAGATGCAAATAAAAAAATTAATTTAATATAATAAATTATTATGAAGAACTAGATACATACCTATTTTATAATAAACCTGTGAAATTTAAGGGAATATTAATTGTTTGATATAACAGGCATAGTAACTAAGTAACTATAGGTATAGTTTCCGTCTTCTACATTCATAATCTACATACCAAACATGTACAATTAGGTAATGTAATTTCATATAAATACCGAATTTGATCACCACGATTCAAGAAGTCAATTGTATTGTGGACTTGCCGTTCGAATTTGTCCTCTTGCGTACATTCGTCCAATGAAAATATAACTTTTTATGATGATAATCTGATGTATTGAATAATTATTGTTATTTTTTAGTTGTCATTTATTCATTTATAATAGAACCTATCTCAATTTCAATCGAGTTTGAACTGCTTTAATCTTAAAGTCACAATATTGCTAAAAACAGCTGCAGTAGCGTCTAAAATATAGAGTGGGACAGTAGGACATGGTGCCATCCGTTTAACTTGTTTGCCGTTCATAGAAATTAATGAATTAATTATAAAAAGAAAATAAACGACTTTTGCACATAATTTAAAAAGAGAAAGACGACAAGTAATAGGTACTAAATATATTTGATGTTATCGACTTTAACAGCCCACAATAATCCTATATTGTACTATATATAAAACTATACAATCGTCTCTCACAACGAAATCATTTTTATTAAGATAAGACTAGGAAAGACCTGGTGGCTTATACGAAAATCAAACGAGATCGTCTTAATTACCTACTTAGATAATTCCATAGGCAATATTTTGGTACCTACCAATATTTCGCTTAGTATAAAGGTTATGTAACAAAAAATATACCCCAACCAATTATCGGTTTTGTTTATTTAAGTAAAAGTAGGGTAGTTTATAAATAAACATAAAATACGTATGTTGTATGTGTGTTAGGTTCCACCGTTATCTTCAATGTCCACTGAAAAATTGTATATAATTGAGTTTTATTAGATATAGAGATACCTTTTAATAAAATAGGTTAAAGTACCTATACGGCTATAACAGGAAACACGCGCTCGAATAATGCGGAATTATTATGTACGGTTCTGAAATAAATTGGATCATATTTTACGATCAGAATATTAAGTGTTAGTAGTAGTACAGTGCGATTTGTATAATTTAATTTCTGTTCAAAAGTACCATAATGGCTGTTCTTTATGAATTATTATCGAAATAATATTCAGAATGATAAAAAATAAAGGTAGGTACCTAACTAGATATTTAGATTATACTATATATTTCGATTGACTAATAGCTACATAGAAGACAAACAATAAACACTTATAAGTTATAATTTATAACTTATAAGTAATAACTAATAAGTAAAATAAATATAAGTAAAGACGTGTTTTTGAATGCAGTTATTTACTTATATTTTTTTTTTTACAAAATATTTAATACTCGAAATATTAAAAGGATGTTACACCTGCATATGCTATTTTTAATTGACAAACACCTAACATAGCAAATTTTACCCCCAGCAGATCACTTTCAACTTAGTTTGTTTAAAAATAAAGAATGAATTAACTTCTTATAACATTTTAAGTTAAGAATATTATCTAGTGAACCTCATAGGTTTGTATTTAGATTTTTATTTTAAAGCAAAATTATGATTATTTAAAAATGCACCAACAATTTACTATTTTAAAATACTCATAGTTTGCTTTAGACTTAAAACCTAAAAAAATACCTGCAAGGTTCACTGGATAATATTCTTACTTTTAAATTGTATAACAAATTTCTTGTTACACATTTGTAAAACTGAGAAAGCGCATGGGAGTAAGGTATCCTTTTAAAAAATTGCAACAAGTGTTGAATATTATAGTTAGGCAAGACTAATATTATTAGATTAAAATATCAGAGCAAAAGATTCTATATTAAAAGAAATCATATACTTAACATACATTACATTAGATTTCTTATCATTTTATCGATTGTAAGAAATTTTAAATTTTCTACTATTGCTCCTCTTTTTTAATAACAACAAAATAACCAGCATCGATTATAGTACTTAAATTTCTATTTGTTGTCAATTTATCCCCATTTTTCTTAGGATAACTAATATTATACAACGAGGGGTAATAAACTTCAAAAAATTATCCAAATTCAATCACATGTTAAAATCAAATACATTTTTTGATTGAGTCTTTATTTACAAAAAAAAAAAAAAAACAATTTAATGACTAGAAAATTGCTGCTACTACTAAAACGTATTTTTACAATAATGATTTGTATGAATTATCTAGATACCATAATTCCAGTCACTGCAGATTTTGAATGTATTGTTAAGAAAAGCTGTAATGACCATAACAAAAGAAAAATAATAACTAATAAATGGAGAAAATCAAATATACACAATTATGAAAGTCGAAATTCTATTAAAATGGATGAAATGAATACAAAAGTAAATTTCTACATTTTAATGATACATGCATTTTGCATATTAAGTAACCTAAGTATTGAATTTAGGCAAACATAGAACTCTTAGTTATTTTATAGAATATCTACCTGGTTTACATCTGTACAGAAAACAGTAGCACCAAGTGCCTCTTTTTATAAAATAAAATGTCGGAATTTTTATTACTTTTTCTAGTTTACAATTAAATTATTAACTGAGCATCAGAGGAATAATATACAGAATATTTTTAAACCCCTTTCTGCTTGTTTCCAATTTAAATAGGTATATATATATACAGGCACAGACTGATAAAAAATTAGCACAAGAGTGGACAATTTAAAATAGGTATGTAGATTATTTATAAAATAATAAAATACTTTATTTTGTTTTAATTAAATATTAAAAATACGTTAAAAACGTAAATAGGTACCAAGATCAAATACCAAGGTACAACAAACATTCAATCAAAATTGTACAATATTAGATTACCTAAAGTTCTACAGTTATATACTAAAAAAGTAAAAATAAATAGATGGTCTGTTAATACACATTCAAGTATTACATTTAATTACCTTAAAAATATCATGTATCCGAGTTTAGCGATTGCGATACAGTAGATATAGATATGACTAAATAAAAACACAAGGATAAACCAGCTACTTAGTGCAATACTTATACCTCAGTTACATTTTAATTATAATTTTAAATTTTTATGTTCACCTACAGTGCCTACAGTAACTATAATATTGATAAAAATAATAAATTTACTAAAAAAAAAATTTAAAAATTGAACCTTAAAAACTGTTAAATTTAAGCAAAAAATAAATTGTGCCATGTATTATTGATACAAAATAAAAGTAAAACTTATATCATGCACCTACCTACATGATATACTTTGTATTATACATATTTATATTTACTTACGATAATATTACTGAATATATAAATGAACATTTAAAGCATAGTTACAAGGTATCTACCAAATTTTTAATATTTTAAGAAGCAAGTCTCTACTTTCAGACAGTTTTTTTTATGATATAATTAGTATCATGAATTAGATCATGTGCAGTAGATATTAACATTAATAAATTTAATAATTTCTTCACAAAGGGTACTTCTTAGTCTAATTTAAAAAATTTTCAATTTTGAGGAATACCTTTCACAATACACTGGAGTGCATACTAATATTGGTACAAATGTATACAATAAGTACACATTAGAATATGCTGAAGAATGTAAATTGAATTTCCATAATATTTTAAACACACGTGGTAAATAACATTGACTATCATAGAGTTCATTATTATGTATCAATTCATTATCATCAGTATCCTGATTATTTAAAAATTAATAATACCTACTTCTATATTCTGAAATAAATAATATTTTTGTATATAATATTACCATTGCAAAATAATTTTTTAATTCTTCAATTATAGAGGTAAATGATTTTGGTGCATCATTAAGCAGTAAATAAAACTATTTGTGTGGGTTTTAGAATTAATTATTGTATAAATATTGTGTTGATAATAAATTAATAAAGTATAAGTATAAAAGAGCTGTTCAAACTGATTAACCTATTTCCTTACTGGTTACTCTAAATGTATTCTTTATGATTGCTACCAATAGTTATTTTATAAAAAAATAGATTTACCTACAACTTTATCAGAGAAATGTAACTTTTGGTTTCAAAATTTACATTCATTTTAGGTAGAGTAATTAAGGCACATTTATACCAATAGTCAAATATATTTTAGGGCAAGGGATACTGTAGTATCCCAGTCAGTTCAAGCATTCATTATAATCTTATTATATAATTATAAAATGCAATTTATTTGATAATATTTGCCCATTATTAACTAAATGTTAAATATCTTTATTGAAACCATTTGTAGCACATTCTTAGATAATATACACAACAATATTATTGTATATATCTACTGCAAATATTATCTATTAGTACACTACATTATTTAAACCAATGATAATATTATATATTGATAATTGATAAATTGCAAAAAAACAATTTTATCAATAGCAAATTATCAAACATGATAGTTAATAAATGTATAAATAATACTTCTTGGTATCAGAAATTATAAATATAATAGTATCCAATAAAAAAAAAATAATAAATAAACAAATAAACAGTGTTAAACCTTATCATCCAACAAACAAAAATAAACAACATAAATAAAAATGTTAATACTTTTATTGAATATAAAATGAATTTACCTAAAATGTACAGAAATGATAAAGTTTTATTTATGTTAAAAGTATCAAATAGTTATCAAGAAACCATTATAGAAACATATAAACTACTAAACATGCATCAATTTATCCCTATTAATATAATTGCTGGTGCACTGCCAGCTCATTGTTTCAAAAAGGAAGAAAATATTGTGAAATGGAAAATTTATGAACATAAATATTTTACTTCGGCGCCTATTATACTTGGTATTATATTAGTGTTCCAAAATGATTATATTGTATCTTGTATGAGAATGTACAATTGTATAGAACTGAACTAAAATTTTTTTGACCTAATAAGATGTATTGAATATTTAATGTCATCACCAGTTATACATTTTGTTTATACTATTTTATACATAACAAAAAATAAATATTAGTCATTGTGTATATTTAGTATTAACATACTCTATTCATGTTATATTTTATAAAAAATACTTAGGGTTCTAAAAGAATGCCAGACTAAACATTAAGTACAATAAATTATATATTATTGTTTTGTAAATTATCATAAACATCAATTTGTTTTTTTATAGATAACTAAATGTGATACACAATTTTCACTTCAACAATATCACCAGAATAATCCATCATTATCAGTTAAAGGCTATAAATATAGATCACACGTTAATGATCAATTCTATATAAAAAAAAAAAAAATGTTTAATGATAATTTATCATCAGAACAATCATCACTAAAATGTGATAGGTCTGAAAATGAAGACAATAGAAAAAATAATATATTCAATTTAGAAAATACAAATATTGATAATAATGAACATGAGCCTGAAACAATAATTGTCGAAACACAACAAAATAAAACAGCTATATCTTTATTAAACGAATGGGCCATGCGTGGTGAAGGAAAAAAATCATTTACTGTGTCATATGTGCTTGTGGCTATTACTGGACATGCACATAAGCCAATATTTACATATATGTGTCAAACACACAATATGAAAGGTATTTTAATATTATTGATTTTATCTAATTTAAATAAATATATATGTATTATTATTTTATTGAGTAAGCTTTAGGAGAGGGGAAATCTAAAAAGGAAGCAAAACAAAATGCTGCTGCCCAAATGTGTGAAAAACTTTTGAGTTTTAAAATTGACTCGGTGAATGACAGTGATAAAGTTATAACGTCTACTACCTCCACTGATAACTTTGAAGTTAGTGAAAATGATACATTTTTAAGTAGCACTGAAGGATCACAAGATATAGATGAAACTAACTCAGATATGGGCGATGAAGGATTGTATTTGTAAGATAAACAACTACTCAAAATACTAAAATTGTTTTTAATTTTTTATAAATAAATTGTTAGACAACAATTTAAACACGAAGCTGTACAAATTGCCCATTGTGATATGAATCCTATTGGAGCGTTGCAAGAGTTATGCACAACACATAAATGGACACCTCCATTCTACAGTTTTGATATATTAAACAAAGATCAAAGTGAAAGTAAAATAGTATTATACAAAGTTACATGTGAAGTTTTTCATTTACAAACAATGGGTACAATAATCATTTAAATTAAATTAATTTTTTTTTTTCGTCTGAGCATTTTCTAAATACAGATATTTTTAGGAATGGATAGCTTCAAGAAAGGAGCTAAACGTAAGGCCGCACGTCTTATGTTTGAAAAGATTTTGAACATTGGCACAGAACAATTGAAGGAATTAAAATCTTCATATCCAATAACATTGTTATCAATTGAGGTAACACAATTTAAATGTATTTACCTATTTGGTATATAATTTAAATTGAAAATTAATGAAATTAATAATGAATGTAATTTTAAGGATTGTAAACAAAATAAATGTATTTCTGTGCATGATGAGGAAAATCAAAATGTAACAAATAAATGGTTATCAGCATATTGTTTCCTGTCATATTTTTCAGAAACAATTGCTTCTAGAACAGCAATGAATGATATAACAACAATTTCTTTAGTTGAGGTACATAATACATAACAAAAATATTTAAATTAATTTTAATTAATGTGTATAGTAAATTATAAAATTGTTAGAATAAGGATAATCCAATGCAAGGGGATCAACAGCCAGAGCAAAATACAATGGAATTGGAACAATATATTGAACATTATGACCCAAATACAATTGCTGTTAATAAATTAGAAACTTTATGCAAGGAACTAGGTTTCCAAGCAATTTATGTGTGTCTGGGAGCTCAAAAACAAAAAGGTATGTTTAAGTATATTACATTATGGGTTAAAGTAAAAGAAATACATTTTGACAGATACTGAAAATAATACCAGCCAAGATGAAGAATATGCTGTATTAGTACAAGTAACTTCTGTACCGATTACTGTTACAACTGGATATGGAGCCACTGCTGATGTGGCAGCAGAAGAAGCTGCTAAATCTATACTACAGACTTTCAAAGCAATGTTGCTCTTTACTAAACCAGCCACTGTAAATTTCAATAATAATAATGAGGAGGAAAAAACTATAAATGTATTGTAAACATTTAAATTTAGTTATATAATTGAGTATTTATATTAGTTACATGAAAAGTATTTAAAACATTTATTGATTTAATTATGGTTAACAAATTATTGGGTTTATCATGATCATTTATAGAAGTACTACCAGTACAAATTAATTTTATAAATTGTTTTACTTTCACTCAAATCAAGAAGTTTTCAGTTTTTGTTAGTTACGATGAAAAAAATCATGAGTAACAATTGATTTTTCTCATGTCGATCATTATATTATATTGTGTTTTACAAACTACCTATGTCAGTACTTAATATTATGATGTTTAAATAGAAATAATTGTTTTATGATCTCACCCGTTAGTTGATCAAATAAATTATATCGATAAATAAATAATAATGAAACCATAGAACAATAGGTATAATTTAGTTGTAATAATTGTGTGTTATTAAAAATAAGAATTTTTCCATTGAAACTTAGAGTTTTTTTTTATCATAATGTAATATATGTACACGTTATTCTACATGGTATTTAGCTGTTATATTTTGTTTTAAAATTTACCTTAGAGACAACGGTTTTGGTCTGTGTATGGGTACCTACTAATTACTGTTCGGTAACGTGAACCAACGTTATGACCGAATCAATAATCACACAGATAGGCGAGTAGGCGACACCTTTTTCCGTCGTACGCTTTTATCGTTTGTTTAACACGTCGTACAAACACACATCGCCACTAGAACAGGATTCCGTCCCCGTACACGGTGCTGGTGTCGTCGGGTAGGTGTTGTCGACGCGTCTGTTCCGATGGTTCGACGGCGGTAATCAACGTGACATTATAATTATTAATAATGTAGTATAATATTATAATGTCTTATAGTTAATTAATGTGCCGTAAATAATAGTGTGATTGTTGTTTTTCAATTGTGGTCGTCGTATCTGCCGTTATTATAATATTGATATACCGAGCGTTCACGGGACTGCTCGACGGAACTCTGTAGACGAATCGCGACAGTGACGTCGTGTAACAACAACTACTACCAAAGTACTACTACTACTACACTACTACTACTACTACTACAACAACAGCCTGTGCTATACTGCCATATTATTTTATTATCATATATTCATATTATAGTAAAACTACTGCAGCGACGGTGGCTACAAAAAAAATGTAATATCATCACACGCACACTCACGGCAATTTTGCGTTCAATACGATTCAATTCCTGGTCCGAGCGAATTTGCTAATAATATTATTTCATGTTCGGCCGCGGTCGACGGTGGTTGAGTTTAGAGTATTTGGGTGAGAACAGCGTCGTCGCGTCGAGTGCTTGTGGTACGTGTCTCTCGGGATGATCAAATCGCTCCCCAATCCCCACTATGACGACAGAAATTTTTTTACCGATTTCATCTGTTATTTTGAAGTCTGTGTTATTAGTATGCGAATATTGTGATGATGTTTTTGTTTTGAACGCAAGACCAACCAATAATAAATAGGTACCTACCCACTAAAATAGCAGCCAAATACGTGGAATTATTACATTTTACAATTTTAATAACAACTACTGATAAAATGTGATAGATAATATTGGAAAAGCTGTAAGTGGATGTCAATTTCCTGAACAGTGGATTACAAGTGGGTCACTGACTCACTGTAATGGGTGGTGTTAAATTTTAATACAATGCTATACAATAATTGTACACTAAAAACGATTCTGAGCGAAGATGGTATGTCAGCTTACGATACTTAATAAATAAACCTAACCTCACTTGCCTCACCCCCAAAACCGCCACTGGGTTTATTATCAACTTAAGTTACAGCGATGTACGACAATAATGTGGACGACGATGTTTGATCGTTCTGTACAAAGGGTATATCGGTATCCATGACGGTCAATTCATTTTGAGATCAATTTTAAAAAAGGTTGCGTGTAGTAAATAATTTTTGTTTTGTGAGAGAGCGTTTTTAGAAGTAGTTTTTTTTTTGTAGATGTGTAGGATGAGAAGCTTGAAAAATGTATTTTGGAGAGCTTCGTTGACCAACCGTCCTTTGCATGATTATTCATGTAGGTAACTAACCTGAGTACTGTGGTTAGAATTGATTATCTAATTATTTTTAGAATTTACAGGAATTGTTAGGCTAGCATGCTGTATAGTGCTCTATATTTCATCCAAATTTTGTTTATTTTGTACACGGGTGATATCCGGAGAGGACTGCATTTCTTAGGAGAGTAGGTCACGGAACGACTCACGCAATAATGTGAAAACTCGACGACTGAATAAAAGAACCACATTTTGCAAGGCACGGAGAGAGCGTATACTTACAGTCTTACAGATTCAACTTAAATTAGATAATTTAAATTGAGTTTGACGTTAACGATTTACACGTAGCCACGCAGGTACCCCCTTATTTTTTACGGAATTGATTAAGAAGGACGACAATGAATTCGAACGGACTTAAATAAAGACGCGTGTGTCGTCGCAGTGCGTCGACATTACATTGTTTTGAGTGGGTATTATATAAACTAAATAAATAAAAGGTTAGATTTTTTTTTAAAGGATCCCGTAAACATACTATCCACTATCCAGTTACCTACATGTAATGATAAGGTACACTCGACTATAGTTGAGTGGTTACCTACTTCCAATTCTGTTTTTTTTTACAATCTGTCAAGAGAGAGGGTTGAGATTTTTATTTGAGGAGACACTGAAAAAAAAGCACCAATACGTCTGAACCCCCTCCACCCTTTCTATTTTATCTATACAATAAGAAATAAATTTTCAAAAACTAAAAACAAACTGATATATTATGCTTAAAACGATACAACTTCCTTAAAAATTTGAAATAATAATTTAATATAATAACAAATGTATTATAGCAAACAAAATAAAATGTAATAAAATATGCATGCAATTCACACTATGATGAGGTTTAAAAAACAAATTTACAATAAATCTATTTTTCTTTTTTTGTCTTAGAAAATAAGTTAATTACATTAAATTGAATAAGGGTCATGGACTTTTATTTTTTAATTGAAATTTATTTCGTATGAATAGTTAATAATTTCACTGTTCAGAATGGTCGAATTATCAGCCATGAGGACAAATTACAAAGTATTATAAAAACAATAAATATTAAGAAACATGTACTATTTACCTATCACGATGGCGTGACTACCCGACAGCGACGTCGATATAAATGAGGACCGAGGTCCGAGGTATCACCCATCACTCATCACTCATCAGGTATTATTATGAAAAGCGTCTCATAGCGTAGATAGTAAACCCCACTCACATTAGAAATCCTCCAGTACCCACGCTCTTGTATTCGCGAGTTGTTGCGTCGCAACATCTATTTGATGTAATACCATATTTGAACGATTATGACTATGATCTATTCAAATTTTTAAATATTTTATAAAACAAGAGTATTATTTATTTTTCCCGTGTTCTAATTTCTATGTGGGAAGACGTTGTTTCATTGTCTCCTATGACGCTTCGCCATTGCAATCCGTACATTTTCAACAAATAAAGTTCAATACTTTATTTTTATTTTCTCAATTTCGTATAATATTTCAAGTTCTGACTTTAAAAGAAAATGTATTTCAGTAATTTCAATACTGACATTGCCGCCCATTCGTTATTCATTTTATTTTATCTCAAAGTTGTATTTACCATTATAGGGAAATTTCTTTGTGTATGAAAATTAAATTTTTATCTACGTTTATATTATTTTATAATAATTAAAGTTGAGTTGCAATTAAATCCATTTAATAATCCACTTGTGACTGGTTAATTTGATTTTTTTATAATTTATATAGTTTTAGGCTTCAGTCGTATTTTGAATCCTGAACCTTTCTATAATTATTAGTTATTAATTGCTAACAATACGGCTTATAAACTGTCAGCTTTAAATTGAAACACAAAAACTGTTTGTATTTGAAACATTTGTTTATGTGCGCAATTGTATACAAGCTCGCTCGAATGCTTGATATTAGTTGTGCAAATAGCTGAAATATAAATATTTAATATCAATAAAATGTAGGCTAATTAATTAAAAATACATTATTATCCGAGTATATGATAAAAATTAGTTTACAATAAGCACCTTTTATGTGTGTTATTAAATTATAATCTGCATAACATTACACACAGTTAATAAAAATGTACTTTTACAATTCTTTACTTTTAATTATTAACATTCTTATATTGACAATACACATACAATCTCAAAAACAAAAAGGTGAGCTTCCTGTTAAAATATATTATTTTAAAAAAACATTAATTAAATGTCTACAAACGTGTTTTACGTTTGTGTAAGTATAGTACGTTATTCTATTCATTCGTAAATAATTGGTAATTGGTATCCAATGTAGGATTTCAATTTTTTAGTAGTTTTTCTTGATACTTTATGTGTGGATATTTTGTATCTCGTTTTCAGGCTTTTTGAATGATATGCTTAGAATTAGTTTAAAATGTATTTTGATATTTTTAAAACTTTTTTGTGTGTAGAAAAAAATAGAATATGAGATATCATGTGTTACAATTTCAAGCCATTTTAGTTGTTGAAAGAAAAATTCATGAATTTTTAACTACAAAAAATGTGTACATTTTTATGATTTTAGTCAAAATTTGATTTCAAATGCTTACTTATGAAAAATAACAGTGAAAAGTGTTTTAAATATGTTTGATTTGCTACTATTGTATTATACTTTCAAATTATTTATTCACAAATCATAAATAATTTTTTAAAAAAACCATAATGTTAATAAAAACAACTAATATGTACTATAATGTAATATGTAATATATAATATTTTAATATGTGTGATATTGGTAGTAATGTTTATAGTTATTATTTATGGGTGTATACATACATATTGGTATACATAGATGATAGATTATCTATTTCGAACTTTCCAAATTGTTCAATTCTTCAATATATTAAATGTATAACCCTTCAATCCATTTGTACCTACATAAAATACACATATTTACTGAGGTGAAGAAAAAGTGGCCTGACGATGAAAAAAATTGTCCTGCGACTCCTGCCTTAATTGTGGTACCAATACAAAAATTCGCAACTAATTTGATCATGTTGTTATACTATAACATTCAACCTAAATAGTTAATACACCAAATATGTATACTCCAATACGTCGCAGCCAGATTGATGCCCATATTCCGATTCGACCTTACGCAGTTACGCGGGTAAGGTCGAATCGGAATAGCACATATTTTCTCCTCGAAAAAAAAAGGATACATTCAGTTTGAATTTCAGTCATTTTGATTATTATTTACTTATAACCTATTTAATATTCAATATCAATCGACTCTTGAAAAA